TGCCTCCTGTATGCAACAGAGCATAGCTATAGCATCTGCCTTCTGGAAGCTTATGATTGAAAACATACCATGTATGGAGAAAATGTTATTTGTCTTTTATTCATATTGTTGAACCTAGTTTTATGTGGCTAGAAAATTATCTAACCCAAAATGCTTATTGTAGAGATCAGGCTGACCTCAGAGACCGGGAAGCTGAACCTTGTAAAGAATAGTCAGATCCCACCTAAGTCTTGTTTTGGATCTACTCAACTTTCATTTTGGGTTCACCAAATTAGACTGACTAATCTGCTGATTTACATGACAAACTGGTCTTCTCTTGGAGGCTACCTACTGCCCAAGTGAGGCCAATCAGACAAAAGTCCTTAAGCCCTTATCTGAACTCTATAATGTAACCTCACAAAGACTGATGGATGGAGTCTTCTTCCGGCTTTCCTCCTCTACCAAATGACCTAATACATTTATTTCTAAAAGTATTTCAGATAAATGACGTTCGTTCTCATGACTATCATGGTAGCAGTGGTAGGCTTTCCTGGGTGATCAACCCATGTTAAACTTGAAAGTTCTCCAGACCATGGAGGTTAAATAAGGGCCTGTGGTTTTAGGAATGAGCATAGGCAGGACCTGACCTATACAGGATCAGATTGAACATGGTGAGAACCTCTTGAGTACCCTCAAATTCAAATCAGACATGGTCAAGGGCCTGGGTTAGGACAGTTAGGACTAAAGACTCTGGATATGCAGAAAATTAAGGGGCTGTGGTGGCATTAGCTCAGGGAGAGACTTGGTCAGGGTCAGAATTAACCCAGGCTTCCTTGATCCACAAAATGAGTAATCCCCTTGACTTGATCACCCCAGGGCTTATACATAGCTGCTAAAAATTTGGTTAAAATTAGATTGCTGATTCTTTGGTAGATCTTTTTCTTTCTTTCTTTTTTTTCTCTTCCTGTCTTTCTCCTCAACCCTCCTATAGAGTTGGTCTGTAATGATAGCTGCCCTGACACTCACCAATTCAACCTCTTTATCAGATGTCTAGGTCTTGTCTTGTCCTAGGTTAATGAGGGAAACTTGTATTTGGCATGCAGTAAGGTGAGCTTTGATGAGACTTCCACTTCAGAAATTTTCTAGGAACACACATTTACCTTAGAGAACTTTGAAGAATACGTGGTCATTCATAAAGACTTTGGTAAATTGACTGCAAAAAGGGAGCTTAGAAGGGTGGGGAAATCTAATGAAGTGTCATACCTAAAACAGCTTTCCAAGCTATCTATAAAAGAATGAGGACTTACTTCCTATGATTCATTTGATTAGATTTTCAGTGGGAGATAAGAAGGGAAAACTTTGAGATTCTTTCTCTCTACCTTTGCAATCCTGACTGGGTTGGAGCTTGGAGAGATAAAAGACAGATAAGAAAAAAAAAAAGAAAATCTTTTTCCTGGTTTGTAGAAATTTTTGGCATTATAAACTAATTAGAGAATAAAATTGTGACTGAAATGTAATATCTTTACTGTAAATTTCCAAATTATGGTTTGAAGGGCTTTTTTTTATATTTACATTTAATTTTATTTTTTCTCAATTACATTTTAATGTTCTTTTTAAAAATTTTGAGTTTCAAGTTCTCTTCCTCCGTTCTCTCCACCTTTCTCAAGAAGGCAAACAATTTTGCATAGATTATATATGTGCAGTGAAGTAAAACATTTACATATCAGCCATATTGAACGCACAAAATGTTTTGGTTATTTTTCCAAATAGAATACATGGTACTGGAATTAATTATTCTTTAAATGTTTGGTAGAATTCACTTGTGAGTTCTGGTGATTTTTTCCTTAAGGTGATTTTTTCATCTATGGCTTGTTAAATTTCTTTTTCTAAGATAGGGTTATTTAAGTATTCTATTTCCTCTTCTGTTAATCGTGGAAATCTATGTTTTAACAAATATTCATCCATTTCACTTAGATTGTTAGATTTATTGGCATATAAGTAGGCAAAATAGCTCCTAATAGTTGCTTTAATTTCATTTTCATTGGTGGTGAATTCATCCTGGTAATTTGGTTTTCTTCTTTCTTTTTTGAAAATCAAATTAACTAATGGTTTATCTATTTTATTGGTTCTTTCATAAAACCCAGCTCCTAGTTTTATTTATTAGTTCAATGGTTTTCTTACTTTCAATTTTATTAATCTCTCTTTTGATTTTCAAGGTTTTCAATTTGGTGTTTAATTGAGGATTTAAATTTTTTTCTTTTCCTAGTTCTTTTTTTAAATTGTTGCATGCCTAATTCATTGATCTGTTCTTTCTCTATTTTATTGATGTCAGCATTTAGAGATATAATTTTTCTCCTAAGTACTGCTTTGGTTGTATCCCGTAAATTTTGGTATGGTGTCTCATTGTTGTCATTTGCTTTAATGAAATTATTGATTGCTTCTATGATTTGTTCTTTGACCTACTTATTCTTTAGGATTAGATTATTTAATTTCCAGTTAATTTTTTAATCTATGTTTCCAGAGCGTATGGGATGTTTAGGGAGGACTAGCACCTCTGGTGTGAGGGCTTGCCAAACTCTTTCAGGGCTGCTCATCTGCCTTTGGTATTTAAGGGTCACTCAACTCTCATCTGTGGCTTTAAGAAGTTGTAGTACGCATAATGGCCTCACCCTGGTAAAACCATCCAGCAGGTGGGCTAAACCAGGTTGAGGGTAACTAACAGGCCTCAAACCCATTTGTGAGTTAGCAGTATGTCTGCATCAAGCATGTGAAGACTTCCTTTGGCAAAATGGGAGGATGAGAACAATTTGTTCCAAGGGCCTTGAAGGCAGGTGATACAGGTGCTGTGGAGCTTGGTCAGACATCGAAGATGCCAAGGTCATCCACTGCAACCTGGGCCATTGCCAGTCATTTTGACTTTTGTCTTGCCACTGTACATTGATTACTCTGGAAGATGGGGTGAGGATGATGACTTTGTACAACTCTGCCTCACTTAATCCAATTTATGTGCAAGTCAAGACATCATCCCATGATGTCATTGATCCTCTTCAAAAATGAAAGATAAACACCAATCTATGTTTCCACAGCCCTTTATTGAATATAATTTTTATTACAATATGATCTGAAAAGAATGCATTTAATATTTCTGCTTTTTTGCATTTGGTTGTGAAGCCTGCCTCATTATATCCTAATGCATGATCAATTTTTGTGAAGGTGCCATATACAGTTAGGAAAAAGGTATACTCCTTTCTATTCCCATTCAGTTTTATTAACTGTGTATTTCCCTCCATTCTATTTTTTCTCCTGTTCTTCTTTCTCTTTTTTACCCTGTCTTTCATCAAAAGTCTGTTTTGCTTCCCCTCTATTAGCCACCCCCGCTTCTCTTATACATTTCCCTTCCTACTTCCCTGTAGGGTTTGTGTTTAAATTCAGCTCTAAACTCAGGTTTTCCTGATCCATTCAATTTTCAAGCATATAGCCTTAATGTCTGTTTTTTTTTTTTTTTTTTAGGCAACTGGGGTTAGGTGACTTGCCCAGGGTCACACAGCTAATAAGTGTCAAGTGTTTGGTCTGAGGCCGGACTTGAACTCAGGTCCTCCTGACTTCAGGGCCGGTGCTCTATCCTCTGTGCCACCTAGCTGCCCCAATATAGCCTTAATGTCAAATAGCAAATATATTTTGCGTTGTTCTGATTTACCACAATTATCCTAATAGGAGGACACATCTCACTTTAAACGAAGACCGCATTATAGTTTAGTTTCAGGACAAACTTTAACCAAATCAAACTTGGATTTACAATCACAAATGGTAATACTGGAAATTTCAGTTTTCCAGAGGGCCATTAGCTGTCTCTTACTGAGACACTGGGAAAAGTTTGTCACTAATTAGGAGCCAGATTAGTGACAAACTTTTCCCAATGTCTCATAGTCAGAGGAATCCATTGGAGTGCTTTCCCACATACAACGCTTTCTGAGCACAATCCAAAACAGTGTTTTCTGTCTTAGATTCTAAGTTCCTAGAGGGCAGAGGCCTTGTCTCTCTGAATCTCCTTGGCCCGTAAGGGGACAAGAAGATCATTAAGGAAAGGCTTGGGACTAATGGTCCAAAGATCATAAAATAGGGAGGAGACTAGTCCTAAGGTAAGGGATCTTGACTTAATCGACCTAGGTTTCTCCCTTCTGGTGGCAAGATCGACAGCATCGTTCTTTCTTCTTGTAATCCACAGAACAGGCATGGCAGACGAGGCCTCCGCAAAGTCTGTGGAGATCCAGAGCCCTTTAGGTAAGTAGAGGTCAGTGAAATCAGGAGGAAAAAGGACAGCAGGGATTTCTGTGGCTGTGGCCCTGATCTGGGCAGTGAAATGGATGCCAAGGAGGATAGTGTCTATGAACCATACATGTTAGAATCCCAGGTCATTCTGTCTACTTCCCTGCACCAGAACAGCCCTGGCCCTTGTTCACTTGTACATCTGGCCTTACTTTTCCTTCTCAAGATTTCCAGATATCCTCATTCCCTCTTTTCTAATGTTTTCTATTCCCCAAATAACAAGTTCTCTCGTATCTCAATTCCTTCTCTCTTCCTGTATTTCCCCCTGATCTATTTTCAATGGAGGTGGAAGACAGTTTGATCATTCATCTTCTGTCAAAGTAATCTTTTTATAGATGAGAAGCCCATGAATCACTCAACTAATTACTAGGCTACATAATTCCATCCCCTTCCTGGTTCCTTTCATTTTCAGCCTATGTCTACCAGCTTAATCCTTTCCAGGGATGGCTGTCCTGCCTTCTTGTGAAGCCTAGAACTAGTTCTGGGTGTGTGTACAGGGTGTGATCAAGGATGAGTATAATAAAAGAATAACCTCACAATGCTTCTTTTATATACTTTCTGTTCTTGCATTTTCCATTGCCTTGAAGTGGGAAGGGGAAACAGGCTGGGAGGAAGTATGGAAGTCTTAGAATAAAGACACTTGACTGGGAGGAAGTATGGAGGTCCTAGAAGAAGGACACTCCTCTTGTCCTTACCTGCATTTATATCTCCTAGACAGGCGACCAAAAATCTTGCTACAGACTACACAGAGTCCAGGGGCTAGGGAAGAGAGATGCTCAGTCTTCTGCCATAGGCTGTCCTTCTCCCTGGAAGGAAGGGACAGAGAGAATTAGATTGAGGAAGGAAGGACAGAGAAGCAGAGGGGAGATGGGAGTTGAGGTCTCTCAGTGAATCCCTGGGGATGGCAAAGAACAGATGGGGAAACAGATCTCTACTTGAGCTATTTAACTATGTATACCCCTCAAGGTCCAATTCAGATTCCACTTCTTCCATGAAGCCTTCCCTAATGACTGAAGCCAAAGGAGGCATCTTTTTCCTCTGAAATTCTGTGCTACTTGGTACCTGTATTAGTTCCATTTGACACCAAGTATGTATACAGGTTTTCTTCCTAACTAGAGTAATAAGCTCTTTGAAGACAAGGACTACTTTTTGAAACTATTAATATCTTCCAAAGTTGAAGACTTAAGCCCTGTCTCCTCTACAAGGCTTTCCCCAAACATTCCAACTCATAATGATTTTCCTTTTCTGAACTCATCCAACATTCAGAGCTAAACTGCATAATTTAGCACCATGGTGTAGTGGATAGAAGGCTGGTCTCAGAAACAGAAAGTCCTGGGTTCAAGTATTACCTCAGACCCACACTGGCTCTATGATCTTGGGCAAATAATGACCTTTCAATGTGCTAGGAAAGTCTAAGACTATAAGCTACAGAGAAGGTGACAGGCTGCTTTGGTAGATGGAGTTTCCTTTACCAATGAAATCACAAGTTCGGTCCCTATCCCTACCACCTAAACACAGCATTGTATTACTAGTAATATTGCTTATGTGTCGATGTCTTTCTTCTCTTCCCAAGTAGTTTGTAAGCTTTTTGAGGGTAGAGACCAAGTCTTTTAAAATTGTGCCTAGTAATACATAGTCATAGTAGTACTATGCAGAATACATCCAAAAATAGTTGTCGATTGAGGCTGGTGAGCAACTACCCCAGAACCCTGACCTCACACTGAGACCTGCACAGAAGTTGTGGTGATTGGGAAGAGGGGAGCACTCCTAGCGATGAACAAATTGGGTCTTCCTACCATTTGTGTCTGCTTTCATCCCTTCCACATTCCTTCTCACTCCCACAGGCCACCTTACCCTCTCATGCCCCAAGCCATAGGTCTATTCCTTCCATATCCAACCTCCTACTCCATCCCCTTACTGATGGGATGTCTCCCATCCCTTACTGAATCATCTCCACCATGCGTCTCTTCATGGCTCGGACCAGCTCATGCTGCTCCTTGAGCTCCTGTTGGTACTGGTACTCTCTCTTCTCAGCCTCCTGTTGCCTTTGCTCCAGCTCTGTCCTCAGTTGGGCCTGCTGCACTTGGCATCTGGATAGGGAGAGGCATCTGGAGTTTGAGGCAGGGATAGAATTGTTTCTTGGCATATGAAAATCATGCCAAGATAACATAGATGATGAAACTGAAGCTAGGGAGGTGAAATGATTTTCCTAAGGTCACCCAGCTAGTATGTGTCAGAGCCATGATTTGAATACAAATCTTCAGTCCAAGGATCTTTGGATATTTCAAATCTTAAACTCAGTATACCCGAAAACTCATTTTCTTTTCTCTACAAACCGACAAATCTTCTAAACTCTCTTTCCTCACTCTTTCCAACTCCATCTACGCACCTTTGCACCAGCTTTCCTGTATCTGGAATATACTCTATTCTCACCTCTTCTGTTTTAAATATCTTTTTTATTTTCGTAGCACTGCAAATTACCTTCCACATGAAGGTTTTCCTGATCTCTACTTCTCCCCCCTCTGCCAACTACTACTGGTGTCCTTCCACATAAAATATGTATCTTGAATTTATTTTATATCTATTTTATGCATACTTATTTATGTATGTGCTGTCTCTCCCAATAGAATGTTACTTCCTTCTGCATTTGGAGGCAGAAAAGTTTCTTAGCATGTAGCCTAGCAAATAGAAGGTGCCTAATTAATGTTTTTAGATTACTTGCTTGGACTATCTCAGTGGGCTGTCCATTCAACTGCATGTCATACTCTGGCCTATAGGCATCCTTTGTCCATATGGTTTTTCCTGTATGAATTTTTGGGTTGATAAATTTTGTTGTCATGGATCTCCATGAGGTGGCCCTGTAGTATTCTAGAATTTGAGGCAATCAGTATAATGTCATTTGTAAATCTCCATTTGGAAGCCCTCACCTTATATAGGGAATCTCTTTTCCATTTGGATTTCTTCAAGGCATCTCTCATCATCGTAGCAAACACCTGAGGCAAGCCTTTGCCTTCTTATTTTATTCCTCAATTAATGTTGGTAATTAGGAAATTGTGTAACAAGTTATTTCTATGGTTTTGGATATCAAGGAATCTTTTATGATCTCAATGTGTCCATGAGAACTCTATGCTTAAAAGATATAAATTTTGCAGGTCATATTTTATACTAATTAAGGATTTTTTTTTTCAGGCAATTGGGGTTAAGTGACTTGCCCAGGGTCACACACAGCTAGCAAGTGTCAAATGTTTGGTCTGAGGCTGGATTTGAACCCAGGTCCTCCTGACTTCAGGGCCAGTGCTCTATGCACTGCGCCACTTAGCTGCCCCTTAATTAAGGATTTTTAAAAAAACAACAAACAATAAACACAGTGTAACCTTATATTCTTATCCTATTGCTGTTCAGTCATTTATCCTACTGTGAAGATGTGGTCTGGCATAGAAAATCATTTGAGAAAGCCTCTCTATTCTATTTTCATATTTTTATTGATTAACCTCAATACGTGGATAGATTATTTTCATAAAGATTTTATAGGGATGAGAAATTAGGCATTGGATAATAGTACTGTCCATTTCCCCCCTTCCCCCCACGATGGTATCCTCTCTTCCTCCCCTCTTCCTTTCAGATAACTTAAAAATTGATTTCTCAATGCTTTCAAAATTTCAGTTCTTGGAATGATCCCTACTATTTGGGTTCTGTACCAAGTTTCCTTCAGACTGGTTTTCCCTTCTACTAACCTTTATTTTTTGTGTGATGTGATATTACCACAAGTAATATCTATTTTGTCACCTTTCCTGTAACATTTTGCAAAGAAGTTTAAATGCCATATTGGTATTATTCTGAGCTTTCATATCTCTTTACTGTATTAGAAGATCAAGTATTTGTTGGCTGAGTTCGTTTTGGCCTCTTTGTTGGGGCAATTGTCTTTTGCCAGTTAAACTTCTATAGGAAATGGTGATAGAGTTAATGTCTTTCTTTTTAACCATTTTCTATTTTAGGGTCAATACCTCTTTTGAATAGGTCAGGCTGAAATGATTATATTTGAATATATACCTTCTTATCTTTATCCTCTATTCTAATCTATGATTAATCTTGACATTTATTCTACCTATAATTGCATTCTTCACCAGTAGGTTGGCTGCTAGATGATGAATTATTTGACTATAGTAACCCACGGAGTGAAGAAAATACAAGATGGCCTTCAATCCTGTGTGACCCCACCCCCTTTTCCCTTCTGCAGGGGTCAGAGGGCACTAGGAATTACAGATTTTAGGCTGTCTATAGATACTGCCTTAACTACTGACATTCCAAATGTGAGAATCTACTGGAGGAATGGAATCATATCAATATTGGCATTCTTGGTATGAATAGAACTAGAAGACATAAGGAAATGGTGGTTAAGTAAAAGGATGCATCACTGGTTCTCCTTGGAGAGGCTAGTGAAAGAGTGCAGAGTTGATTTCATCACGTGCCTACGGGTGACAATAAACATAACTTTACCGGACATTTGGCCATCTCATCTTGTATTACTTATGAAGAACAAAAGTTAAAGATCATTGTGAGGATAATTAGAGCCTATGTGCCAACTTCTGTAGAGGATGGGGAAGAGAAATTCTACGACGAACTTGACAGCTTCCTCTAAACCAAAACATTATGTGCTATGAGACTTAGTGACATTGTGAAGATAGGCACAGGAAACAACGATGAAAAATATGTTTTGGAATTAGGAAATTAAAGAGGCTGAAAATTTGTAGACTGCTCAGAAGCCTCTCACCCGTGTATCATGAATGCTTTCTTCAAGAAGAGATTTGAAAGATACTAGAAATAGAAGGAATTGAATAATATTGCAAAAAGTGAAATTGAGCATATCATAAAAGACAGAAAATAACTATTTCCCAATGTAAGGATCATTTGTGACATGTGGAACACCCTTGAGAGATAGCCTTCTGTAGCCAGAGCATGAGCACTCCAAAAAAAGTCTACAAATCTAAGGTGCTCATGTAGGTAGGAATAATAAAATAAAAATTATAAAATGTTTCAGATTGATGACATTGTATGTTCTTTTGGTGATGTCATTATCATAGATTTTCTTAGTGTTTCAACAGGCAGAATTTGCTCTTTGAGAGTATCTTTCTTACGTAAATTATCTTTATTCCTGATGTACTTAGTTGGTACCCATCACTTTTATAAATAATAGCTGATAGTTGTATAGTACTTCAAAGTTTACAAGGCACATTTCATGCTTTACCTCCTCTGATCCTCACAACAGTCCTCTGAGGTAGGTATTATGGATGTTGTTGTTATCATTCTCATCATCTCCATTAAACAGGTGAGGAGACTGAGGCTTAAAGAAATTAAATGACTTGTCCATAGTCAGATAGCTAGCAAGTTTTTAAAGCAAGATTACAACCCAGGACTCTCCTAGCTATAGGCCCAGGACTCTTCTGACAATACCATGGTTCCTTTTAGAGTAGGGTAATCCTTTTGACACCAGTCCCTAGAAAGAGGAATCTTTCATTATGACTATCTGACCATTTTCAGCCATGGAGAGTTTTCTGATTGGATAAGGATTGTTTAAAAGCCATTGCAAAAACTTGGCATTAGAAAGGATGAGTCTCCTAGTTGTCTTCTGTGTAACTTTGGGCAACTCCCTTCCTTCCTCAGGTCTGTTTTCTTATCCATAAAATGGTGAGGTGTCAGTAGGATTAAAAAATCACGTAAGTCTTTTTCAGCTCTGACATTGCCTAATTTTATGAATAGGTGAAATGTTTCCCTCCCCAGCATGAATCATCAGTTTTATCCACTGCTGACCCAATGACTGGATGTCTAGCTGATGATACTTAAAAATGAAAAAAAAAAAACTTAAAAGTGTGATGTGTTAGACTCATTGAGAGTTCTTACCACTTTTAAGTAGACAGTCAATAGAATAGACAGTCAGTGACAGACACATTGACTCAGCCTAAATCACAGCTGGCTGAGTTTTGCTGGTTGTCTTACTTCCACTAGAACCCTGCAGGCATGGGGTGGGGTAAGGCTGATGGTGTCTGGAGATAAAAGGAGGGAGAGTCAGACAGTGAGACAGAGGTGGAGGGGGAGGCAGAGGATTGAGAAAAACACAAGGAGGGAGATAGAGCCAGAGAGACAGAGGAAGGGAAAGGACTGAAAGAAATAGAGAGAGGGAAAAGGGAGGAGAGAGAGAGAGAAAGAGAGAAGAGATGGAGGGAAGAAAAGAGTGGAGAGAGAACAGAAGAAAAAAGAGAGAGAGACAGAGAGGGGAGAGAGAGAGAGAGAGAGAGAGAGAGAGAGAGAGAGAGAGAGGTGTCTCAGAATATGTGGAAAGGGAGGAGATACAGAGATAAGAAGAGAATGGTGCTGGTTTTCTGGTTTTCTGCATATGTTCTTGGGAAGCTAATCCACTGGAGATCCACTTCACCTCCCTCACCTTAACTACTCTTTCAAGTTACCTGAACAACTGCTCTTCCAGCTCTTTCAATTTCTCCTCCAGGGTCATTAGTAGTTTTTCCTTCTTCTGGGACTGTTCCTCAGCCTTCTGTAGACATTCTTTGAGGTTCTGTGAGACAAGGACATCAAACACCCATGCACCCAAGGATGGCTTGGGGGAAAGGTGTGGGACAGGGGATGGGAGGCCAAGAGTGGAGGAACTGGTAAGTTGGAAAGAGGCACCACCTGCTGGGGGCTGCTGTTGGCTGAGATGTCCCAGGTGATCACCATCAGCTGGATATTCAGTTAACCCTGGCTACTGGGTCATCCCTGTGGCAGACGTCGCATCTAGGGACAAGCCTTGGGCACAAAATACCTGAGTTTTGTCTTTGGTTCTGCCCTAGACATACTCTGTGAACCTAGAGGGGAAACTTTCTAAATTGCAGGAAGAGAAATTATTAAGATCAAGGCAGTGAGATGATTTAGTCTAGAGAAGAAAAGGCTGAATGGGGGTTTAATAACAGTCTTGAAACCCACAAAAAGTTGTCTTTTTCACATCTAATAGGATGAAATGAAGCAAAGGGCAGGGACTTCAGAGACTTAGGAATCAGGAAGGATGAGACAGAGTCACAAAGACAGAGACAAAGAGAGACAGAGATCGAGGCACAGAGAAAGAGAGATAGAGACGTGGAGACAGGAGAGAGAAAGAGAATGGTGAAAGCAGGGAGTACTGGAAAAAGTCCCATTGTTTTGGGTGAGAGGCAAACATATAGATAAAATGACCTTTTTAGCCACGCTGAGTAATTCTTACCTTGATTACCTCTTTACTCCCTCTCAGGTGCTCTTTCTCCTGCTCTTCTACTTCATCAGGCATCTGTCTTTGAGCCTGATTATCTTTGTGCCTCTCCCCTGTTTCCAGGCCTTGAAAGATCTTGGACTCCCATGGGACTCCATGGATCTCATGCTCCCTTCTGGGTCCTGACTCTTCTTCCTCAAGCCTCTCCCCCAAGGTATTTGGTTGGTGCTTTGGAGCAGATCTCTGGTCTCTCCTTCCTTTTCGGGGATCTGTTGACATTTTCTGTCTTTCTAGTCCCATCTGCTCACCTCTGTCCTCAGCCCTGACAGATGGTTCCTTCTTAACCTGCACTGTCTTTGGAGACACCTTTCCCCTCTCTTCCTGTTTCACAAGACTGAGATCTACCTGTGTTTGATTCTTTGGAGATGTATACATTGGCTCAGTGAGCCCACCTCCTAGGAACTGTTCTTTTTCTTCCTTTCTCTGATGCACCTTTTCTTTATCTGGCTCTTGACTAACCTGAGGGGACCCAGGTATCCTGGTTCCTGGGAGACTTTCATGTTGCTTTTTATGAAGGCTGGGGTTCTGTCCCTGGGGCATCTTCCTAGTTTCCCTAAGCAGGGAGCTTAGATGTGGGAGCACTTCCAGTCCTTTGGAACCCTCAAGTGACCCTTGACTTTTGATGCTCTTAGGATCTTCTATCTTCTTTTCTGTCAGGGGTTCTTGTATCCCAGCACCATTAGGTCTCACTAGGCAGACCTCCTTGGGGTCATCTCCTTGGGGTTGGAGGTCACAGCCAGCAAAGAGGGTTGGTGGCTTCTTGGACTGGACTCCTTTGATTGTGAGATGTGTGACTTGGATCTAGGGAGAAGCCCCCAAATAAGAGATACTATCTCTAGACCAACCCTCTTTGGTCAGCTCTGGGTGGATCTGAACATTCAGATTATTCCATTTCCCCAGGACTCCTCTGCCCTACTGCTCTGCCTCTGCCATCTTTTTCTTTCTTTAATCTCCTCCTGAGTGCCTTGACTCCATTCCTTTGGCTACCTCTTGAATGAAAATTTGGCCTCTTAGAAAGTGCTCTGGATTTGGAGGGAGAGAATCATAGTCTGAACCCCAGCTTTACTACTTATTACCTATGTGACCCTGAGCAAGTCTCTGAGCTCCCACAGCTTCAGTTTCCTCTTCTGTGAACTGAGGGAGTTTGATTAGATCCCTTTCAGCTCTGAGATCCTATGCCTGAACTCATTGTTTACACCCCATCTCCCAAACCTCCCATCTTCCTAAATTCCACATGATTGTTGAAGGTACTGTCTTCCTCTCTGGCACTCAGACTCCCAAACTAGGTATCAATCTCAACTTTTCACCCTCTCTTACTCCCCATATCCAATCTATTGCCAATGTCTCTTGATTTTACTTTTGTGATATCCTTCGCCTACTCCCCTCTTCCCCTTTGACACCCTGAAGTGGGTCTGACTCCTGGACTATTACCATTGCCTGTTGGTTGGTCTCTCTGCCTCAAATCTCTCCCCACCCCAGTCCACCCTCCACTCAACTGTCCAAGCCATCTTCCTGAAGCACAAGTCTGACCATGTCACCCACTACTCAATCAATTCCATTGACTCCCTATCACTTCCAGGATCAAATATTAAATCTCTGGCTTTCAAAGCTCTTCATAACCTGGCTTTCCTCATTTTTCTAATCTTCTTACAACTTCCAACCTTTCCTACCACCCTAGTACTCTTTGATCCAGCCTCCTTGCTATCCTTTGGATAAAATATTCCATTCCTCAGTTCTGGGAATTTTTACTGCCTCTCCCCCATACTTGGAATACTCTCCCACTTCATTTCTCTACTTTCCGCCTTCTCTGGCTTCCTTCAAGTTCCAGCTAAAATCCTACCTTCTCCAGGAGGTCTTTCCTCTCCTTAATTTGAGTTCTTTCTGTTGATGATTTCCAATTTATCATGTCTATATAGCTTGTTCGTACATTGCTGTTTGCATGCTGTCTCTCCTGTTAGACCGTGAGCTTCCTGAGAGCTTTGAAAGCTATCTTTTGCTTTTATTTGTATCTATGGTCCTTAGTACAGTGACTGACACATGGTAGAGGCTCAATAAAGGCTTATTCACCGCCTGACTCTATATTCTCTCTTCCCAGAAAGACTTCAGCCATCCTCGAGGGACTTTGCAGGACCCCAGAACTCCCTTTCTTCTCTACCTCCTAATCTCTCCATCACTCTTGAGTAAACCCTCCCTTCTCTCACTCATCCTGGCCCCTTGCTTCCAGTGTTCATCTATCTGGGCTACCATGTCTTCTCCCCTGGAATTTCCAGCTTACTTACTGCTCCATCTACTGGACACAACAGAGAAGGGTCAAGGAAGACTGCTAAGGTAAGGACAAGGGACGGTACCTCTTGCTCTTGAGGCGGATTTGTCCTTAACTTCTCCTGAGTTATGCTGAAATCCTGGCATCGTGACCTGAAAGAATTGAGGCAGAGGGATAGCTTATCTCTCCCTCTAGCTTTGTTATTTGGCCCACATTTGTAACATCTTGGGGGTGGACCAATGAAGAGATGATGGGAACTTAGGGGAACAGGGCAAAAGACATGAGATAGTGACACAAAAAGTGTGTGTGTGTGTATGTGTGTGTGAGACAGGGCCAGAGGACTAGTGAATGAGGGAGTACATTCCCTTCAGTGGGGGTCTTCCTTCTTTGTTTGAAGGTCACTTACCCTGAGAACATAGGCCAGCCCCCATCGAGATCACACCGCTGCAACTCGAGATCAAAAGCCACTCCATTCAGAACATAGAGCGTCTCTAGGATGTCAGTGCTGAGCTCTGGGCACAGGAAGGGGCTTTGGTTCCCGTACCACTCCCTAGGGCAATCACATCAGCTCAGGAACCAACTTCTGGCCCCAACATTCTTATTCCTGTACTGCTCCCCACCTCCCCTAATTCCAAGAAATGAATTTCTTATCTAATTTCTCCAGAGGAATTTCTCTTCCTCTAAAGTTCGTAGGTCTGTACAAGGAGGGGCCCTAGAAGCAGGCCATCCAGGTGGTTTATTACTGGGTTTTATTCCTTACTCTGATACCTCATTCCTATTCCTTCCTCTTCCCCATCGCCCCACTGCCTCTGCCATCTCAGTTTCCTTTTGCTTTGTGCCCAGCTATGGATGAAATGGTAGCAGGACAGACTGAAGTTAGATATCAGAAAAAATTCCCCAGCAATGGGAATACGAGAATCCCCAATGTGGGGTATGAGAGAGTGAATCTAGGGGAAAGTTAATTTCCTGTATTATACCATTACTGGTTCAGCCTTTGACATATTCCCCCTCTCCTATGCCTCCATGTCCCCATCCATTCCCCTGACAATTGGTCCTTTTATTTTTTGATGCTGTATTATATGAAACATCCCCCTTCCCCACTCTCCTGAATTGGATATACCAATATCTATATACATACGCACATATGTGTATGTGTGTATATATATTCAATTAGATACTAGATATAGAAGATACATGCACACACATTGAATAAACACATACATATACCCATTATAGCTATATATATATACACACACATTGTATGTATTTATTATATTAGATAGATATATATATATACACATTGTATATACATTGTATTAGATATACATACATTGTGTGTATATATATACACATTAGATATATATGCACATTGGATATATACTGGGTATGTATTACACATTGCATATATACATTATATATGTGCACACTCATTGGACATATGTATATGCATGTGTGTGTGTGTGTGTGTATACATATATACATATACACAGATATATCCAGCGAAGTGATGAAATGTCCAGGGGCAGAAGAAGTGGTTGTTGTTGACCTGATGAGTTCAGGGTCCAGGAGGCAGAGCTGCAGAGTGTCAGCCAACTGTCTATGGGCCAGACAGAACCGGATAAATGCACGACCTCTCCCCACAGTGGTCTTCAGCTAAAAAATAATAAAGGAGTGGGTGAAGTGGGAACAGCCTAGGGGAGTAGCAAAGAAGAGGTAAGAAGGTGCCTCAGTGGCCAGTGAGTTCTTTGAAGGTTATGTAGGACACTAGGGTATAAAGAAGAGTCTGGGGCAGGGAGAAGAAGCTTGTGGTGGAAGGAAAAGGAGGGACTAAGCTTGTATAATTCCCTCACTTTACAAATGGGGACATGAGAGGATCATGCTGAATTTCAATATTAAAGAGACAGTATATGATTGTGTGCTGGGAAAATCAAAGCTAACAGCTCAGGGGATGAGTGGGAAGAGAGAGAGAGAGAGACAGACAGACAGAC